CCCCTCACTACACTTTTATGCACCACTATCGCCACACCTCTTTCAGCCCGTTCACCTCCAGAATAATACACAGTATAATCACCACTTCTTATTTCACCTTATCCTTTCCATCGCACTTCACTTATACCTAGAACAGACACCTCATTCTTCTGCATTTCCGTTTTCAAATTCTCCAATTTGCCTGCTTGATTCAAGGTCCTCACATTCCATGTTCCAATCTTGTAGCCATGATGTTCCTTCTGATCTTTGCACTTTTTCTTGTTGTAACGCCTGCATGACATTTCCTCTAGAAACACTCCCCCCAGAGATCCGATTGGGTGAGTAGTTTACCTCCAGATTATTTTGTCTCCAGAGGAAACATCTCGCATACATGGTATCTCTGTTTCTGGAAAGAGACTATCCAGGAAAAGTGATAATGTGGTAGTTTTTCCATTTGCTTTCCACATCGCAGTACAGCAGCTGTTCAAACCACTCTGTTCATGCCTGTTGCTATACGAACTTGAACCATCTCAAGCATCATTTGCTCTGTGCTTCAAGTCGCTACTGATGACACTGCTTCCATCATCAGTTTTTTGGGGTCTCTCTTCATCTAATGCCTACCCTTTGACCTGTCCAGCAAGGGAGACCCTGCCAGTAGCTATGCTACCGCTGGTATAGCTCTCAGGGTCCTTGGCATACTCAAACCCCCTCACCACCATAAGGTGGAGACACCTACGAGGGGGTCATTAATGTAAAGTAAAAAAAGCAGTGGACAAAGTATTGATCCATATGGGGACTATGCTTTATCTCTCCTCAGTTTTAACTGATGACTTGCCTAGAAAACTGTTTCAAACCAACGACAACCTGAAATTACATAATGTTTTAAAAAGTCTCAGTAAACATTTGTTCATAAATTACTATTAATGCAACAGCACTGAATGTCAAGTTCTTTTATGAGTATGTAATTGTTAGTCCATACCTTTTACAGATTAAGACAGTTTCTAATTAGTTAAAGCACTGTAAGATATGCAGTTGAGAAGTATGGCTTTCACTCATGTTATCATGATAGCAATATTGTTTGTAATAGGGTGATCAGATGTGTGTTGTTTTATGTTAGGCTCCGTGGCTAAAGTACAATGGTCAGACAACTGGGTTGCGTTTGGGGAGTCAATTCTGCAACTAGTGATGCTGCAGTCTGAAGAACATAGTCAGAACCTATGCCTGCCTGTGGCTTTGCAGAAGATTGTCATCAACCCATTGGAGCACCAAACTGAAACTCAGGGTTAGTTTAATTCATACAGTGGAACCCCCATTTAATTTCATGAATTTAAGGTTTCCCCGCATTTACTGCTCAATTTTAATAATCATAAATGAACAATCTCAGTGTTAAAATTCTTCCATATCAGATTTTTCTCAGTTTAGTGTTAAAATTCACTGGATCCCAAAGAAACCTTAAATGGAGATTTCTCTGTAAGTATGATGGGGTACCCAAAAGAAACCGAACTAATTTTTTGTGGGCAGAGCTTTTTTAGTACCGCGTTTTGCCGCTATGAGTGCATAGAACTAACATTCCTGAGTCAATAAGCTGACTACCGTTGCTTCAGAAGGTAAGGACTAGTTTCGGCAGAGTTTATAGTGACAACTGTTTTGTGTGATCGTCGTTTTTGCAATGGCTGATTTTCGTGAACAGCATGCGGCAGTGAAATTCTGCTTTTTGCTCGGGAAAAGTGGAACAGAAACTCTTGAAATGTTAAAAAGGACAATGCTATGGGGAAAACTCAAGTGTTTGAGTGGTTTTCCCATTTCAAAAGTGATGAAATGTGAATTGATGACAAACCTCGTTCTGGTCGTCCTTCCACGGCCCGAACACATGAAAATGTTGAAAAAATTCGTGAAATCATCAAGGAAGATCGACGACGGACCATTGAAGAAATTGTGGAGCTGTCGGGAGTGACTTGGAGCTCAGCGGCCAGATTTGTGGCAGTCGGGTGACTGGTTTTTCCATCATGACAATGCCCCTGCTCACACAGCCCTGTCTGTACGACAATTCTTGACCAAAAATGGTATGACCCCTGTTCCTCACCCTCCATACTCACCCGGCCTTGCCCCGTGCGACTTTTTTTTGTTTCCTCGAATGAAAAGAGACATGAAAGGAAAAAACGATGGAGGTGCTGTCAAGCATCTCAAAAGATGAATTTAGACAATGTTTTGAAAAATGGAATAAAAGACTAGACAAGTGTATTAGTGTAAGTGGAGAGTACTTTGAAGGGGATTGAAGGTTTGTGCTTAAAATTTGAATAAATATGTTTAAAAAAAATAAGTTCGGTTTCTTTAGGTACCTCCTCATATATGACCTGCTGGACAATATGAGAGAGAGAGAACAGTTATATATACAAGTCAGATTTGAGTCTAGGCCAGATTTCAAAGAATGGCATATGCACATCTAGTTCTGCTTCAAACTAAAAAAATGACTTCAGAAACTTGTACAATGTTGAAACTAGCCTTTGGAAAGGAAGCAACTTGCCAAACACAAATATTTTATTGGTTTTGCAAGTGGAATAACATCACTTAAAGACCTTGAGCATTCAAGAAGTCCATTTATGCGCAAAATGTATGAAAATGTGGCATGAATGAAGGAACTTGCTCATCAGAACAAATGTTTTACTATCTTCACTTAGTTAATGTGATGGTAATCTAATATTGATCATGTCACAACTTTCTGACACAATGTCCGAATATGCAACAGATTGCCACAAAATTCATGCCTTATCTATTGACTGACAAGACAAAGCAAAATCCAATCAAATATTCAGGGACAGAATTTCTTTTGAAGTTCATCACAAGTTGATACTGAAGGGGATAATATTTAATGACATCATCCCAATACAAGAATAGTTACAGGGTGCTTGTGTCAAGTTTAAAATAGAGTTCCTGCAAATGCTTCCAAGAGTGGCACAGTCACTGCACTTAATGCATCAAATTGCAGAGTAACTATTTTCAAAGGAGCTGCATGGAATAGAGTGTAAATTTATTTATTGTGGAGAAGAAAATGCAATACAAAAATCATTTGATCACATGTACATCACACCATGTACATGCAGTATATGTATTAAACACTCTGTAACTGAATTCACATTAGCTATGTGGTAATAGTGTACACAAATAAATTAATGTTATATATTTATATACCATAACATTTCACTCAAGTATAATATTTCTTAAATATATGTTAATTGAAGACAAGAAAAATCTGTGTCATGATCCTGCTAGGCTGTTATGTATCAAAATATTATATGATCACACTGTATCTATAAGTTCTTCTGTATTATGATGTTTCTGAGCACTACAGCCACTTCTGTGATTTAGCAGTCCAATTAGAAGTACATGTATAATGTAAGCCTTGCACACAGAGTTTGAAGCAGTGTTTCACCTTTCTATGGGTGTGGTGCGCTGTGGTGGCTTGGAAGTGCGGCATGTGAAAACAACCTGTCTGGAGCTATCATCCATCTCTCAGCGGAATACCAAATTAGAGACAGTAAAGTTTCTACAGCACATCAACCCAGATATTAAGGTGAGACCTAATTTGGATGCTTTTTTAACACATGCACAAAAAGAATTTGAAGTGAGATCCAAACCCTTAAATACACAATGGAATATACAATGGAATATATTGAAAATGCAATAGAGATACAGAGAAACTGGGTTTTCGGACTTTGTCCATCGTCCTGATTGTAGCATGCATTAAGATTTTAAATGGAACAGGCCAAGGGATAAATCATTTTGAGTGTCAAAGAAGACATTTAACATTAACACAATAAAATCCCATTTAAATGATTATCCTTGGAAGAATACTGGGTTGATAGCACCATGGTAATATTAATACTGCATTATACGAGGGGGGACCCAAAAATAACCGGAAACGACCTGTTGCGCGTGCATGCTTTGTAGTTACGAGTTGTGCTGCTAGGTGGTGTTAGCTGGGGGTCTCCCGCAACTGTTAGTGAGCTGGCGTCAGTCTGAGTTAAGTGGTTTGTCTGTGGTGCTCTGTTGTGTGCGTTCCTGTTTCAACCCTTTGGCGATTAGTGAGATGGCCGACCAGAAGGAACAAAGAGTGTGCGTGAAATTTATGAAGATCGTCGAAAGACCATTGACCAACTTTCTGAGGAAATGAACATCTCATGGAGCACGGTCCAGCGAATTTTAACCGAAGGTTTGCACATGAGACGGGTGTCTGCAAAATTTGTTCCTCGCTTGCTCGGAGATGACCAAAGAGAAAACCGCGTGAATGTTTGCCGCGACTTGAAGAGTGAAGTGCAGTTTTCCCTAACAGAAAGCAAAATTTCACGCACACTCTTTGTTCCTTCTGGTCGGCCATCTCACTAATCGCCAAAGGGTTGAAACAGGAACGCACACAACAGAGCACCACAGACAAACCACTTAACTCAGACTGATGCCAGCTCACTAACAGTCGCGGGAGACCCCCAGCTAACACCACCTAGCAGCACAACTCGTAACTACAAAGCATGCGCGCGCAACAGGTCGTTTCCGTTTATTTTTGGGTCCCCCTTCGTAATCTTGTTAACTTTTCAAGCAAAACTGTTATTGTACAAATATTATGCATTTGTACTTGACTTGTTCCATATCCTATGGTGTCAACCTGTACTTGGATTTATGGAACATAAATGAGTTCACATTCAAATGCATTATGAATTTAAATGGAATGAGCAAAGGTTAAATAATTTTGGATATTAGAAGGAACTAAACTCTAAACATAAAGCAAGAAACTGAGATTTATGAGTGTTTTTTGTCATAGAACTTGTGTATGTCATATGTCATTATTCCTCATAAACTTGAAGCATGGAGTTATATCATTGAAAATATGGCTAGTTTTTTTAAAGTTACAAACATTACTTTAGGGATGCACTTGCAGGTAAATTACATCATAGTGTGACTAATCTTTCTGCATAAGATAGCTTTTAACATTACATTGGGGTTCTAGACACAGCTGATTGTTTGTTTTTAACCCTTGTCTCAGAAAATATACTCTTGCCATGGAAAAAGAAGCTATGTTTGGAATTTATTAATTAGATTTTCTAAATAAATTTACCAATATTTCAAAGACATGTATAGATAATATAATGTATGTCTTATTACATTCTGCAGAGATAGGAGGTTCCTGGTTTAAATTTTGACCTGAAAGCCCATTGTCCTGACCGAGTATTTTTCTACATTTCCTTCATGACATGTTTTGGTGGTATTTTAAAATGTACCATAGATGTTTCGTTTGACATATTTTCAGATTATCATTTACAAAATAATCCTAGAATTCAATGATGTGTGACTTATTCAGCTGCAAAAGCACTGTTAAATGTGCCAAGAATCAGATAGTCAGTTACTCTAACTTCAGTAAATCCAAATTTGAACCAAACCAAATTCCATTCATTTTCAAAGTCAATAAGGGTTAGATAACTATGCTTCAATCAGTGTCTGTGGCAGGAGCTGCCTCTTATCTTCCATCTAGTGTGAGGTTAAGAATGAGTGGAACTTTACCTTCCTTCCTGCATAGAATCTAGTGATTAAGTCCAAGGAAAAAGTTTTACTTTTACATTTCTACTTTATATAGAGTAAATAAAGATGGTCCCTTGTTCAAACTAGCACCGTGGCATTTGTTTCACCAGTATTACACTAACTGTAATCTGGCATGTAACTATTTGTGTCTGCAGAACATACATAATTTTGTGGAGATGTGTCTGCAACTGGCAATGGAGAACTGCTACCAACCAAATAGAAATAACAACATGACAGTAATTGAGCTAACCAACCATCAGAATCTGGAAACGTTCACATCTCTTCTAAAGATGATTCTGTCTTACTACCCACAGGTAAAAGTAGTCCTTCCAGCAGCCCTTACAGCCTTGATATATGTATCCATTATCTGGTTACCTGTCTATGAAAGCAATGTACTGAAGATTACTGTCATCTGAGATATATCATATTGTTTAAGTAGATCGTTACCAGAAATTTAGAGGAACGTCAGAAAGATTTGCCAGATTACTGCAAAATTGAAAGCATCAGTAAACCCCTTAAACCTAAAAATACACTTGGATATGATGAAATATCCACTAAAGTACTTAAAATCAGCTCTGCTTATATTACCTCATCTCTAAATTATATATGTAATACATCCCTTTTATCTTCGGCCTTTCCTCAGTACCTAAAGTACCTTATAGTAAAACTGTTACTTAAAAAAGTGATAAACAGATTTTTCCAACTATAGACCAGTATCCATACTGACCGCTTCATCAAAAATCCTAGAAAAGAAATGTGCAACCTACTACTTGAATTCGTAATTAATAACAACATACTAGCTAAAATACAAATTGGATTTAGGAAAAATCTAACAGAAATAGCAACCTATAATCCAAGTAATGAAATAATATGTTCCCTTGATAAAAATAAACTAGTAGGCAGGATCTTCTGTGTTCTAGCTAAAGTGTTTGACTACTTTAATCATGATCAAATTAAATTGACATGGAATAACTGGTGAGGCCAATAACTGGGTTAAATCATACCTTCTGGATAGATATCAAAGGGTGGTAACAAGAAACATAAACATTAATCACCAGATAGCTTCAAAATGGGGTAAAATAATACATGGTGTCCCACAAGGATCCATACTAGGTCTGTTGATCTTTCTTTTCTGTATAAGTGACTTACCAAACTTTGTTGAGAATAAATCTAAAAATCTAAACCAGTTCTGTTTGCAGACGATACTAGTATAATAATTACCAAATCTACCTGCACAGATTTTATAAGTGTTATAACAACCATATTTGAACACTTAAATAAATGGTTCAGAGTCAATAGTCTTTCATTTTGGAAAGAAAGAAAGAAAGAAAGAAAGAAAATCTCATACGATTTACAACTAAAAATATACCCCAAATTAACCTGAATATAAGCTACATTAACAAAATAATTTTTAAAGCACAAGAAGTCAAGAAAGTCAAGTTAATAAGCCACTAACAAACCAACAAATATATAAAATACACGTAGTTTTTAGGAGAGAACTTTATGTTTTAGTATTAATATTAAACTGTGTTGTTCTCATGACATTTAAAATTGTTTTGTTCTGCATTGGAGACAAATGAATGCTTTATCAAAGCAAACTCAAGCACTTGATGACTTGCTTCAATATTTGGTCATAACAAAATCCCAAGACAAGCAGAACTTCTTCCTTTCAAAGTACTTAATCTTGAGTCCAGCTAGGATTCATATTCCTCAGTATATAAGCTGAAATCTTTGTTGTGGTCTCCAACAGTGAGATTTCTTTGCCTCCATTGTTTCTGATACTGTCTCAAGAGTCCAGGTGATCTGGGTCTTAAGCAGAATCGCAAAACATTCTTGCTCAGTTCGTGGAACATGAACCATTTCAGGTGCATGCAATGTCACTGGCAAAGTGAGTGTGTCATGCATCAGCTGCAGCTTTCAACAATAATGGTTTTCACAGAAGGGTCAGAAACAATTCTTCTCCAGACGAAAAACTTAAGTTCATAGGAACACATTATCTGAATTATTATCATGGCTAGCTGTGTTGTTTTCACTGTTGAACAACACAGCTATCCACTAACAAACCCTGGACGACATTAAGAGCCTCCTTATCAAGATAGACAGCAGCACAAAATCTGCCCCATACAAAGAAGGACGATAGGAGTACGGACACGAACCTACGTGGTTTATAAAATTTTAACTATTGACAATAAGTTTTTAAATAACATCTAGAAATCTTTAAAAAAAAAGTTACAATACCAGGAAGCTGCTGTGATTGTGAAACGTTCGACTTTATGCATACTGTGCATTATAGGACATGTGTATGTAATTAAATCAGAACACCTATCGTGATAGTAGTTTTCAGTTTGTAATGATGTTCCCTCCAAAGATGGTCCATAAGGACCGAAACATGTAAGGGTTGATAGGTTTTCATGTAGTAAAACTTATATGTCGCATTCGATGGAGTGATTTGTATTTGTACAAAATATCACTGCCCACATTTAGTCTTCTTTTTTCCGCTTAGTGGCGGATGGAGTCCAACTGGGTCCACTCAGCATGGCGGCCACTGATTGGCCTATTGTAGCCTGCCCTGGGTGATTATGATAATGGAGAATTTGGTGGAATGAAGATTAGCAGGGAAACCGAAGTACTCATAGAAAACCTGCCCCAGCGCCACATTGTCCACCACAAATCCCACTTGACTAGACCCAGAGCCACATTTAGTCTTAATTGGAGATCAGAAAGAATTGCTTCCATCCTCTTCTTACTGAGTCGCTAGTAGACTCCGGCTCGTAGATGGCAGCAAGGTTGTCAGCCCTACGCACTGGCCGCCCTTTACCCCCAAGAACATTCCAAGAATATTCCTGGTACTCATTTCTGTTAGTGGCTGAGTTGAAATTTATTAGTTTTAAATAATTAAATGATTTATAAATTAATTTTTAGTTGAGTATTTATTAAGTTTTACATTTTAGTTTTAAGTAAAACAAAGTTTTTTGTGGCTTGCATACTTCAATAAATTTTCTTTTCTGTTGTTACTACTTTCATGATATTTTTGCATGCTGCATATTGCAGGTTGATCTGAAAACAACTCCTGCTGATGACCTTCAGCACATCAATACTGAAGAAAGATCTTGCTGTTGTTTACTAGTGGTGACAAACAAGAATGTTCTGAAAGACGCTTTGACGTTGCTGCAACGTGGATTCCTGCTCTGCAGTATGGAGGACAAAGAGATGTGGCCCCATGATGGTAGTCTTGTTGCTGTAGCAGAGTATTGTTATACTGGAAGGAAATTCATACTGCTCAGAAAGGTAAGAGAATGTCATGTCTTAAGGTTGAAAATCTGGAAAATATCATGGTGTATTTTGGTATAATCTTTTCTTTGTCATCATATGATGTTGTAATGTCCTTCATTGCAGTCATATGAACCAAACGAACATACAGTCCATGTGATGCATCCATCTGGAGAAACTTCTTCATGGCTGGATCAGGTGAGAGTAGCTGGGCCTTGCAAGAGGCTGTATCTTGTGGCAGAAGTTAGTTCACATGGAATAGGCATGTTGCCAGCATTCATGAGACAGCTGGTGGCAGATCCAGAGCTTACTCATGTCAGGTAATCGAACATACAAAACTTTAGTCAAATTCTCTTCTCTGCTGCTTCCCTGAATGGTGGTATTATTATATAACACCTTTCATTTTGAAACTGAGAATGTATTTTCAATGGATTAGAATAACTTAAATTATTGGTACTTAAGACAACAACTCTCTTATGCAGAAGTTTTTACTGAAAATCTGATTTATATAATTTATAATTAATAACTCATTATCATGAGTTCTTGTATTATGAGCTACTTTGAGTGTTGGTTTTGGGATGCAGAAGTTGTAATTTATTCTGTGATGCAGTCAGTATCTAGACTGTATAGTATCAAATGAATTGGAAAGGATTTGGAAGAAAGATTTGAGGTCCTCACAGCAGTGTTTATGGCCTAATCAAGAAAATGTCCTGGCAGTTCCATGCATATCCTGGCCAATGTTGAAATTGAATACCTCCAAAAGAGAAGTACAGAGTGTTACTGGTACAGCAATCTGTTTGGTAGTTGCAGTTCTGGTGATAACCATATGCGTTTATGTTAAAATACTGTGTATAAGCTACTGTAATCACCAGGACTTCTAGGATAATATTTGGACCTAAGAATGAGGATGTAACAAGAGAATGGAAGAAGCTGAGTGATGGAAAGGGTCATTCTTATTATTCTTTATCATGTAATATCAGAGTCATCGAATCAAGAAGGGTGAGGTGTCAGCACTTTTAACGTATGTCAGTAAACAGTAATGTGTATAAAATTTTAGTCGGCCTGAAGAGAGAAGACGATTTGGAAGAACTCAGTGTATGTGGGAGATTTTATTAAAATGGATCTTGAAGAAATAGGATGTGAGGGTGTGGATTGCATTTAGTTGGCTCAGTATAAAGCTCAGTGGAAGCCTCTTGTGAACACAGTAATGAACTCAATGGCGTAATAATTTCATACAAGGCAGGAAATTCCTTAACCATCTGAGGGATTATAAACTTCCTAAGAAGGATTCTTGTCCTTGAAGTTGTTGTAGTAAGACACCATTAATCTTGGTATAAATTGCAGAGTTTGAGGATTGCCTAATGAATTACTTCTTATTTTTCCAGATGTTTCTTCCTATCAGACAAGGCAGCTCCACCATTTTCTCTGCACAAAAGTCTCTACAGCCAACAGTTGCTTCAGGATCTTGTTACTAATGTGTACCATAATGGAGACTGGGGTGGTTTCTACAGTGTTTCTCTAGATTCTGCTTGCATTCTAAGACCACAAACAGTTGACTCTCCTTTGTTGTCACTTCAGTGGTATGTATATCTTTTATGTCTATGCAGGAACTCAGATATATATTTGGTTATACACAAAATCTCATCTTCAGTGGGCAATATTTAGGAGCTTTTTGTAGTTTCTGCTTCCTTGAATCCTTTTTAATTAACAGCTTATCCATTTATCCACTGTGCTTTATAATTTACCCAACATCTTGTATCAAATCTTTGTCTCACTAAGACTTCCTTGAAGAAGCTTTATGAGGTATTTGAGGTTTTCACTGCAGTGACTATGAAGATAATTGCCTTCTGGGATGTGACACCACGTAGTCTGGTGGATGTGTACCCAAAAAATTAGAACAATAATATTTATTTCATATTTAATAAACACTCAATGGATATATTCAGAGAACCCAAATAATAGATATGACTTCAACTACCAAAACTCACACTACTGAATTATGGTCAGCATGATTGGCTGTTAGAATTTATTAGCCATTTGATTTGTTTTAGAGGAGCATTCTGCCACCATCTTTGGAAAAAATAAAAAGTGATATGGTTATAAGTAAAGGGACAGCTGGAATGGGGTACTGAGGAAGCCGATTGAAGTAAAGAGAATGATAGAACAGTAGGTTGTTGGTAGTTCTTCTTGACAGTATAATGACAGCAAATTGCTTGAAGAGGAAGCAGAGCTAACATTTGAAATATATAATTTGAATGTGTCTCAGACAATGTCCAACACAATATTGATATTCCAAAGGTTTATATTCCACATAATAAACACATGTATCATATTTACTGGAATAGATTGACATAATTGATATATGATTTACTTTTGTAGTGTTTATTCCTTGAAACTGTATTTTTGCCTATGGTTCTGTATGGGTGTGAAACTTTGTCTCTGATGTTAAGGGATGAACATAGACTGAGGGTGTTTGAGAACAGGGTGCTGTGGAGAATATTTGGATCAAAGAGAGATGAAGTTACAGGAGATTGAAGAAAACTACATAATGAGGAGCTTCATAATTTGTACTCTTCACCATTTATAATTAGAGTGATTAGGGCATGTAGCACGAAATGGGGAGAAGAGGAATGCATATAGATATTGGTGGGAAAGCCACTAAGAAGGCCAAGACATAGGTGGGTGGACAATATTAAATGGTACTTACAGAGATAGGGTGGGATGGTATGTACTGGATCGATCTGGCTCAGGATAGGGACCAGTGGAGGGCTCCAGCAGACACGGTAATGGACCTTTGGGTTCCATAGAATCCTGGGAAATTCTTCAGTAGCTGCACATGTGGCAGCTTCTCAAGAATGCTCGGCTCCATGAGTGAGTGAGTGAGTTGTTCCATGAAATATTAATGCTTCACTTGGTGGATTTGTTAGTGTTATAATTAAAATATGAAACTTTCAACTGAATGGAAAGAAGTCTTTATGAGCAATTATGATGGAGGTGGATACAGAATCACTCAGTATTAATATGGCCGATGTCCCAAGAAGACTTTGTTGTGTTATAACATTTTGAACTTACAAGATGCACTGAAATTGAACATATGTTCTGGTTACAGTATTGAGGATGTGCAAGTTCAGTGCCTGGGCCTCAATCCAAAAGACTTAGATTTCAAGCAGAGTAGTGAGGTGAGATTTCTTGATTACCTCTATGTGTGTGTGTGTGTGTGTGTGTGTGTGTGTGCGTGCGCGCGCGCACTTGCATGTATAACATAGAATTTTCCTGTTTTTTTTTATTGCTAGTGGGGTGGGACTAAGTCCCTTGTACTGCGACAACTTCTGGCCTATTGTACCAGCCCCAGATGATAGGTGAGGGTGATTGTGGAGCAATTGGTGGAATGAAGATTGGCAGGGGAAACCAAAGTACTCGGAGAAAACCTGCCCCAGCGCCACTTTGTCCACCACAAATCCCACTTGACCAGACCCGGGATTGAACCTGGGGCGCCGCAGTGGGAAGCCAGTGACTTACTTCTTGAGCTATGGCGCGGCCAACGTTTCCTGTTGGTTGAGTTCATGATTAATCAGATGGATTTCCTGTGAAATGAAGAAATGAGTAGAGAAGTAAGGATATTTTCAAGTTTACCAAACAACAGTTCCCTTTGTATGTATATTTGTAATTCATGATTCTGTCAGTAACTCTGATTTCTTAGCATTGATCGATTGGGACCCAGAACTCTGGTTTCTGCTTGCTTCCTCCTTGCTGCTTGCTTGGCTCACTTTTCTCCTAAATGCTGGTAAACTTCTACCAAACAAAGAATTATGTGTTCTGAGATATAATGCCATGTATTCCTTTTATATCTCTGAAGACAGAAATCTTCATAACGACTGATATCTCAGTCTCAAGTCCTATATTCTACCAGAATGTATGACATCACATAAAGAAGATAGAATTCTTAATAGCTACTGCTGTGAGAACCTAAACTCAAACAAAAATATAAATAATCTGTAGGAATTGATCATGGGAAAATTTATGACACTGTCCAGGCATTTGTCTGAATGTACTGAGGAAAACCACAGGTAACCACTTTCAGGATAGTTGGCTTCGAACTTGGCACCCCTCAGATACAAATTAGAAGCAATACTACTAGAGACTGCTGGCTCAGGTTTTTCATCCAGGATCTAATATGAAGGTGTAGAAATATTTTGTAATAAATGGATACATCTTCTTTGTTACAAATGTATGATCATTTTCATGGACTCTGGTGTTTTACATTATTAACTTGACTGAAATTTTGAACTTCACAGAATTAAGTTTTGCATCATGTAACATAAGCCAGTAACATTTGAAGACATGATATTCTTTATTTATAATATGATCTGATTTTTCAATATTTTTGTTTTATTGACCAGTAAAGCATCAGTGGGTTTTTCTTAAGACCAGACCCATTTCTTTTTAATTGTACATTACAAATAATAGTCTATAAATCTAGTTATTACTAACACCTGAACGTGTTGATTTACAACATAAAATTTACTTACCGTATTATTAAAACAGAACAGACATTATAGTAAACCACAACATATATACACAATTTAAAATAGCTCATGGAAGCATATAAAATTATTAGGTCTCTTCTCTCCAAAAATGGTGATTGTATGATGGTTCCACATCGTCATGTCTGAGAGATGCAGCAACTTATCCATTAGATCTTTATGTAGTTTATTTAATGTGAGAATTTTTTTACATTTTAAATTTTGTTATATTTTAAAATAATTTTTCAATAAAAGTCTAAGCTGGTACTTAAATTTCGTACTCTTCATGTGGTAAATTAAGGTTTCATGGGATCACATGTATGAAGCTGAGTATTACTGTTACACATGTGGTAATACAGCTTATAAATTATCATGCTTAGGCACATTGGAAGTGTGTTATTGTTTCTATTTCTAATGACTGTTTATACGTCTTTTAGACTGATAAAAATGGCACTTTGCTGGAGTTCTCAGGGACTTTGACAAATGGGCAGCGAGTGATGGGCGTTGCTCGCATGTCTCAGTACAATCCAATAAAGGAGGAATATCTCACCTGGAATGTTCCAAACAGCTGGAACCTGAAGCAGGCTGCTACAGTCCCATTAGCTTACAGCACGGTAAGTGGTCAATCAGCACTGCAGTTTCTTTCCTTTGGATTTTAATTGTAAATGTAAAGAATTAAGCGAATAAAATGATTTGTTTATCAAATGGTAATAAAACAGTAAAGGTTCTTCATCCGGTAATTCAGGAGATATTGTATTTTCATATTTGAGAACAACAGTGATAAATCAAAATTACATTCCTGGTGTGGGGGTCTTATGTAGTTTTGTCATTACTCCGATGACAACCCACTTCTTCGGAACAGTTTGTTGGTCCTGAAAAGGACCGTGGTTGCTGAGATGTTTGATCGGAGAGGTAGCGCGGCACACCGGTAGGGAGAGAGGTTAGTTGCGGTGAGTTGACTGGCCACAGTGCGGCCGGGGCTGGAGGTTGCTTGGTTGCCATGCGGCAGGCGAGTTGGAGTTGCGTGGCTAACGCTGCGCGGTCGTAGGCTGCTGGTGAAAGGCTAGTCTTTGAGCGTGGTCGTAGGAGAGATGAGGCAGTGGCTACGCCAGATGCCCAGTGGGTCAGACAGGGACATGACCACCAGCGAGTCCAGGCGAGGTGCCCCAGTGAGTCGGGTGTGAGAGAGCCGGAGTGCCAAGGCAGTCGTGCCTGGCGCAGCCTGCCGATGCCTCCGAAGACCAAGCGCTGGCGACGAAGCCTGCTGGCTGTTGTTGCTTGGTGTGGCTTGATCATAGACTGATGATCGACTGCTGATTCGGCGTTGGAGCTGCCCCTTTTTATACACTGCTCGGTGGGCGGAGCAAAACTTGAAATTGAGGAGCAAGAATTGATTGGCTAGCGCGCGTAATGATGTAGATGCGGGCTAGCAGGAGGCGCTGTATAAATGCGAACGTTTGAAGCAATCTAGTTGGTTAGCGTGCGTGATGGTGAAAAGTGATGTGAAGAGCGAGCATTGCAGAAATGCGTGATAATGTGGGATGTTCCCACACTGGCAAACTGAAGAGCTGATGCACCCTGTTCTCAGGCACCCTTTATCTTTGGTCTTCCCTCTGAATAAAGACCCAAGCTACAGATTGAAGATGTTTGAGAACAGAGTATATGGAGTGAAGAGAGTCAAAGTGACAGAGAGAAAAACACAATGAAGAGCTTAATAATTTGTACTCTTCACTAAACTTTATTTGGGGACAACATGTGACAAACATGGGGATATGAGAAATACATACATGTTTTCAATTCTGGAAGAAAGAAACCACTCGGAAGACATAGGATTAGATGCTGGGCCAACATTAAATTGGATCTCAAAATAATAAGATATGAGAATGTGAACTGGAGACAGATGGTTTTAGTAGAAGGTCAAATCATGTGCTCTTATAAATATGGTAGTTAAACTTTGGGTGCTATTAGAGGTGCTAGTCATGTGACTGTCAAGTTCTCAATGAGGACATTTCTGCAAGGAGTGAGTTGCATATTTTTCAGTCATTCTTATGTAACTATATTACTGATGTAATGTAATATATTTATTTGCAGGCTTATTATTCACTGGTTTTGGCAGCCAGAATGCAGACAGGAGAGACGATACTGGTGCATACAGGTTCAAGCAACATTGGGCAGGCTGCAATAACTCTGGCTCTTCACTCTGATTGTACTGTTTTCACTACAGTTGCCAACCAGGAACAGAGGGCATTCATCAAGTGTCGATTCCCACAAGTTAGTGACATGTGTAACATAGTTACAAGGCAAAATTTAAAAGATGTCCCACCTTAAACACACACACACACACACACACACATGCATATTCATATTACACCTGTCCTGATGTTGAACCTAATAACTTTGAGTGGTGGTGACTTGTTCAAATGCTGGCTGAGTACTCTTAAGCCTGGTGCTCTTGTAGGTTACAGTGTCCCTCATGGTTCTTCTTCACTTGCTGCAGCACCAATCTTCGCCACTTGCATCTGAGATTGTTAGTTAGATGCTACCTCACTATATAATCCCTTAGGGCAGGAAAGATGGATTCTTTTTATCTGGAAAGGTAATGGGATATTGAATCATAATAAATGGAGTAAATCAGAAAGTATCCCAGATGAGACAGGTAGATGATATTTGTTAACAGCAGAAAGATTAATTCTTTCACTATGCAACACATTGTAACAAATCACATACATTTCACAAATACATTTCACATAACAATCTTCTTGCATAAATAATCAAGAGAGAATAGTGAAGAAAGTTGTCTTCTGGGTTTAGGCACCGTGTATTCTTCGTTTTGGCCGACGTTTCGGAGGAACGTAGCGCCTCCATCTTCAGAGCAGTAGCAGCAGCTACTGCTCTCCGCAGCTATTCAACTGCTCTGAAGATGGAGGCGCTACGTTCCTCCGAAACGTCGGCCAAAACGAAGAATACACGGTGCCTAAACCCAGAAGACAACTTTCTTCATTGTCATCACCGTGAAAACCTCAAAACTTACAAGAGAGAATAGTGTTGTAATTTACAGTCATAGTTTACCAATCTCCAATGGCCATGTTTTCAACCGTACAGAGGCTTGGAAATATTTCATTTGCATGTGTAATTCAAGTGTATGTAGCATAAGCAAACTAAAGCATAACTCCAGTTTTAGAATTCTTTTAACGAATTTTAATTCTGGCACTTGGATTGGCAAGTCATTTTAAGTTCTTGAATATATTTAAAAATACACCGATCAGAAGAGACATGTTTAAGTGGTATCCAAAATTTCAATTTTCATCATTCTTCTTATGGTTACAAAACCGCGTGCAGGCAAAAGTGATGAAACAATATGGAACTGGAAGACATACTTCCTTTAAATTTATTGTCCTTTAATGTAGAAGGGATTCAATACTGAAACATAACACTACATTCCAGCTAGATAATAGAAATTATTTAAATATTTTAATATCGGGATTGTTGTGCCAGACTTTGCATTCAGAACACAAACTATTATAATATTATGTGCGTGAATATCCACATATACAAAAACAGACACACATACAGAGTAAATTGTGTCTATAATAATCCAGTGTCTTGCTTAATATGGATAACTAAGTAGGTATTTCATTACATGTGTTCCATCCATTTATGAACCAAATAAAAAATCTGAATTGATATTGTATAAACTCTGCAGTTGATAAACCATTTTAAGTAAACAAAAAGTTAACCACAAGGCAGAAGTTCATACTATGTGTGCATGAAGGATTGTGTGGTCTGCTAGGAAGAGGGCACAGTAAATGTAGAAGATTTGGCAAAGACTTAATTTAATCTTGAACATGTAAGATAAAAAATTTGTCTTTGCATTTGCAGCTGCTGGACTGCCATATCTTGAATCTAGATCACTTCGATATTTCATTGCTGATGGAAACAAAGGGGAAAGGCTGTAATGTGATATTGGACACTGTGAATGGCCCTGACATCTGTACAAGCATCCACTGTCTTGCTGCACATGGCCGCTTTGTGCAGCTTGTTCAAGCAGATCTGACCAGGAACAAGAGCATGGGTAAGACAAATATAGCAAAATGGTGTTCAAATAATACTTTGCTTATACTTTGAAGAGTCTTATTTAGAATTCAGTGAATGTTGAAGGTTGCTAAATAATAAACTTAAATATAGTATAATCGATTATCATGGATTTAAAAATATCATTCTGATTTGAAATTAAACTACTGCCTTTAATCAGACACAAGGTTAGGAAAAAGGGGTGACAAATATTGATGTCATAGTGAGTTTTGAAATTGAAAATATCTAGCATGGCAGACACTTTTGTATCTGGTTGCACATCCCGGAGCTGAGGCTGACAAATGCACCTTGCAGAACTCTGTTAGAAGGTACAGAATGTAAGGGCTAGTTTAATCTTGCCCAGACACCTTCATTTATATACCTTATTTACTTGTGTCATTTATGTGTCCCCACTTCTGGAAAAGAAGTTTCAGGAAAATTTAAATGTCATACATTTACCCTTGATGAAATTTCAACTAACATATTTCGTTGTGAAATATGTGATAAAGTAAAATGCATTATGGCAACATAGTATGGGAAACTGCAATTGTATTTTTCACAAAAATTGTGTTTTGGTCAAAAGTTCGTTAAGGGTAACTTTCATCTCAGCCTTAGTCTATGAACTGTGTCATAATATGTGTAAGTGCAAAGATTTTTTCTGCATTACCACATTACATTAATATTTAATTGCACTATTTTCAATAAATGTATGTCAGTCAAAATTATATCAAGTGGCTTTACATATCAGTGTTCATCAAAGAACTGTGTGTTAGCCTGTATGCATGAATATCCATATCGTGTTGACACATTGCATTTGGCTTTGACCATGTTTTCCAGGAAAATGATATATTGATTGAAATTATATCGAAAAACATTTTTGTCCCATGATTCCACGAGGAATTGCATGGTGGAGTCTGTTGGCAAGCAGCTGTGTGGTGGAGTTCATAGTTATGAACATCTGTATCATGTTGCCGCATCACATTCAACATTAATCATATTTTCTGCAAAATCTGTTAATTTTTTTAATTTTATCAAGGGTCATTTTTATCATAGTATTCATCAGGGAAGTGTGTAGTGGGGTCTGTACATAACAAATATCCATATCATGTTGCCTTGTCACATTTAGCTGTAATCATCTCAGTCTAATTTGTAAAATTATGTTGTAAAAAGTAGTTTTCTTATATTTAAAGTATAAAATTTTCAAAGATGAGTTTTTGGGTAAAAAATGCATGAATTAATTCAAATAAATGTGGAACTTAATTTAAATCATGTGCATATGGCAGGAATGGAGGCTTTTCTGAAGGACATAACTGTTTTTGGAGTTGTAACAAACAACCTGTTTAATATGCCATCTGAGTGGAAGGAAGCACTCCATTTTGGGGTCCAAGATGCAGTAATGAGAGGAATTGTGCAGCCCCTGGAGTGTGCAGTTTTCCCCAGAAAACAGTCACAGTTGGCATTTAGGTAATACTGGTTCACATCGCAGCTATAGAATGATACAGCATCAGTTAATTTTTTGTTGAATATACATAAAATAAGAAAGATGATTAAAAGAATTTTACATTGCAATTTATTTTGTGTCATACATGACATTGTTCTGTATGATAAACTAGTTTGAGAAGTTAATAAAATTTTATTGAGCATGGGTATATGAACACTATTGAAAATAAACCATTGAAAATACTGTGGTATTCTGCCTAAAAGCCAGAATGTATGAGTTAAAGTGGGTGCCCATTGCTAGACAGTGGTTTGATAGTCACAGTCCTGCATCATTGTCTGGGTGACAATTAAACACGTTCACTTGACAATGCACATATATCAGACGTTAACATGGAAACGAAAACCAGAACTAGTGTGGTTCCCATGGAAACAAATACACTAGCTACTGGTGCATAGAACTCGCAGAATGGAACCCTTGAACAAGGTGTCTCCTAGACCATCCAACTGTTGAATATAACAGACTACACAAAGCAGTACAGGACAGGACAGGACAGGACCAGAACAGAGGTGACCAGAGCAGAGCTGAGAGCAGAAGGAACTAGCAGAGCTAAGAACTAAGGAAGAAACAGCAAAGACGTGCCAACAAGAATACCACTGGGAGACAGAATAGCAGAGTGAAGATGAAATGCGAGAGATAACAGACTAGTCATGTTGCATCATGCGGAAAACGTTATTTTTGAGTAACTGTAATTGTAACTGTAAACAACTTATCCAATAAATCGCTTCATCTAATCCGGAACTCATTAACTTCATGTCGCATTACCAGGATATGTGACAATATATAACCTTAATAACTGGAAAAGTTCTGGAAAGATAGCTACATCGAAGCTAAGATACTAAATGTGAAAGCATAACAGTATCCACTAAGCACTGTTGTTGCTCTAAAGATTGTCTGTAAAACAGACTTAATCAATAATACCTAATCTCACTTTTTCTTCAGCTGAAAATAGAAGATCAAAATGACTATATATACTAGGTTCTATTGGAAAGTTCCCAGAGTATGTCGGAAAAAGAAATGCTGGCTTAGCTTACTCAATTTTGGCTGCCATCTCCTTCAAAATAGTCTCTTTGGAAATGTATACAGTGATACGATTGTTTTTTTGCACTTCAAAAGCACCGTGGAAGTCATTTTACTTAATGCTGTCGACTACTGCTTGCGATTCCCTTTGGATGTCAGACATGTTTCAAAATGTCGTCCCATCAATTTCATTTTCAATTTGGGAAACAAAGCAAAGTCACAGGGGGCTAACTACAGCATATAGGGAGGATGGGAAATGCTAACCATGTTGTTGTTAGTCACAAACTCTGGGTTTTCAGGGCTGTGTGGACAGGCGCATTTTTATGATGTGGTGCATGTTCAAATTTTCAGTTAAGATCTCCTAGCAAACTCTATAACTGATCCCAACAGTGTTTGTGAGCTCATGGATTGTTCAGCAATGGTCTTAGTGGATGGATTCTTGAATTTTTTCAACATTTTCTGTCGTTTTTATGGTGCTTTGTTGCCATGAACGTCATTATCTTCAACTGACACTTGACCGGCTTTGAAAAGTGAATGCTATTCATAACCATAGTCTGGCTTTAAGAAGGTTCTCCAAAAGCCTCACGAAGAATTTCAAGGGTTTCAGTAATGGATTTACCAAGCTTCATGAAAAATTTGATGCTGAATTTTGCCATCCATTGCAGAAAAAGCACTCATGTAAAAGGAATGCGTGTTCACATTGCAGTGTCATGTGGCAGAATGATGCAGTAGGCTTTTGTAAGTGTGACCTTTGCGTCCCCTTTCATATTCTTTCACTGACACAATAAAAAAATAACAGTCCAGGGACTTTCTGATACCACCTTGTATAACCCCAAAACTTAGATAGTAATACATGAGCTATTTTACTTTAGGTTAAAAACATAACAGTGAACCCTGGAATATAAACTCCACCTGCAATACATGACAAATAACACGGAATTTTACACTGTAACAACAAGAGAATTTTTAAAAATTAAAAACTTCAAAAATCTTTTTACAGTTTTAGTAATAATTACATGAATTATGATGATTAACACTAATGTGGATCCATATTAGGGTATGTGAATAAAGTGAGACTTATCTGTTGTAACTGCCTGAGGATGATCCAATATATGGACTGGAACATATAGTAATTATTAAATAAAACCAATATAAAAAAATTGTTTGGTTTATTTTGAAATATTTGTTGTTTTGACAGCCAGAGTATTATAAATATGGCAAGGGTGGTTCCCAATAAATGCTAGTGCACTGAAACCTTTTTAGCTGAACTAAATGCATGAAAGTTAAAATGACACAAGCGAATATCTTCTTTTATACCAAATTAATAATTATTTGAATAAAATTGTAATTGTTACTGCGCAATTTGTATATCCTGTGTTTTTTGTGCTAAAAACAACTTTTGACAAATCTGGTAAAATTAGATTTAAATATAAATAATACTGATGATTATTGTAAACATGCATTTTGCAGTTCTTGCATAAGTAATGCTTATTTGAGTCTGTACATTTTTCTAGGACCTTGTCAGATGTTCATCACATGGGCAAGGTGTTACTTACAGTTTCTGCAGATGATAACGCCAAAACACAGCAGTTAAAATTCAGATGTGATTCACAGAGCTCCTATTTGGTGGCTGGCAAGTACAAACTACAAATATAGCATTAGTACTAGATACCGTAGAACAAAAGTCTGTGATTCTGAGCAATAAGTTTGGTATGGTTTTACTTTATAACATATTTCATACACAGTATTCGTTGAAGTTTAATAAGCTTGCATAATAATAGAAATACTTATGAATGCAAATAAGTGAAAGACTCCCAGACTGAATATTATTGGAAGGGTTAATGGGCTGCTTGGAAAGGGCAATTTATGGGCTTATGTAAAGTAGGATTCATTATGACTCATTATCCATCAAAACAGGAATTGCCTAACAGTGTTTAGTGAAAGCTTTCCATATCAAATTTCATCAAAATATGTTAAAGATTCTGTGGGATATATGTAAAACATCATTCATGAATTTACACAAACTAGATTTCATTATGGATTAATATGGCTAATAGTCAGAATTTCCTAACATTTTTTTTGTGGAAGTAGGGCTATCTTATGTTGAATTTGAACAAAATGTGTGAAATGGTTCATGGGATGCAGGCATTAGTGCATTTTTTTAAGATGAGTGATATTGCATTTTTCTGTAGCACCAATGCCAAAGGTAGGAAAATGTTTAACTGATTTTCTTGCCAACACTAAATAAATATGTGTGTATAATATTTTCATACTAAATAAAAAATGTCATTGCTTAAGTGCAGTTCTTAGTTAATCCAATGAATTTAATACCTTCCTTAGTTTTTTTCCTTTATGTTACATGATAGGTAAGGTAAAAAGGTAAAGCTGTCCCTGTAACAGGCGGTGAAGGCCCATAAGGTTGTGAGACATCGAGGTTTGCACATTTTCTCTAGACAGTCATCTCACAGATGGTGGTAAGGTTGTCAGCCTTACATGCCAGCTGTCCTTTACCCCCCAGGAAGATTCATGGTACTCATTTCTATTAGAGGCTGAGTCGACCCCAGGGCCATAGAGCAGCTGGAAGGATTAGGTAAATTGAAAATATCCACCTCATTGGGACATGAACCAGTGACCTTCCGGTTTGTAGCATAGTGCCTCAACAAACTACACTACTGCATAAGATATATCTTGATAATAGTTCCAAATTTAATTTCTTTGTCTTTAATTTCCCATATTTACATGTCACATATGGGAAAGAAGTTCAAGGTTAATATCAGCATAGCAAAAGAAAGGTGTGAATTACATTACTAGTTTCTTCATCATTAAATTAAAATTTTTAGTTCTTGTTGCATTTATATTCAAAATTATACAGACCTGCCAGTGTCAATAAAATGATGTTTTATTACTGAATGTTGTTTGTTGTAGGTGGCAAGGCCGAAGAGTGTGTCGATGTAGCAGAATGGTTGGTATTGCGTGGAGCATGCAATGTGGTGATTGCACTAAACTGCAGGTCAGTGTCAAACCAGTTAACACGACGAATTGGTCTGCTCCGATCATACCACAATACTCATTTGGTGCTGGTATTTACTCCTGCTGCCACTACAAGCACCAGTGCTACCAACCTACTAGAAGCAGCAACTTCTGCAATAGGAGGAAAATTAGGAGCTATCTTCATATTGCCTGCTGTGAGTATAAGTTTTAGGTTATAAAATAATAAACTTAACCAGCTGAACTAACTACAATGGAACCCCATTTAGTATTGCTCAATTTAAGATTTTCCCTCATTTAATTTTCAGTTCTAGTTATTCCAATTCACTAAACTCAGTATTAAGTTGCATCTATTTAAGATTTTCCTCAGTTTATTATTCAAATCCATTGCTCCCCAGAGAAAATTAAAATAGTGATTTCACTGTACATAGAACGGATTCTTCATTAAGAAGTCAATAGTCACTCAGCTATTCAAGACATTCCCCACCATTTACAGAAACTCAGAACTCATTACTATGTTCTCAAGAGCCTATGATTGGTTCCCTATATGGAGCCAGGTGAATCCAATCCACATTCTTTCATCCTATTTCTTCAAGATACAGTCCAACATTATCCTTCCATCTACATATAGGTCTCCTAAGTGGTCTCTTCCCTTGAGGTTGTCCAGCAAAATGTTATATGTTTCTCATTTCTTCCATACATGCTGCAAGCTCTACTCATCTCACCCTCCTTCATTTGATAATTCCAGTAATATCTGATGTAGAGCATAAACTTGAAGTTCCTACTATGAAATATTTTCTAGCCTCCAGTTGTTTATTCCCACATAAGTCCAGATATTCTTTTTCTCAGCAACCTGCTCTTTCTAAGGGACCCAACAGAGTAGGTGCCTTCCCTCACCTGAGGACGGAAACAGATCCAGTTTCCGAAACGTTGTATTTTTTCTTAGTTATTTAGAATCAGAACAATGATGGACAAAGTCCGAGAACCCAGTATCTCTGTAGATATATCAAGTTTATAAAAAGAATATAGTTTTTCAAAGTATTTTTGTATACCATCAAGCTTCCCGTTTAGAAATCCAAATAATAACACTGTATTTCAAAGCAACTATGTTTGAAAATTAATTAAAAGCTGGTGTTGATTGGAATGTCTGCTGTAGGAAACAACAGAGCGAGAGAATGGCATCACAGTGTCAACAGTGTCACATCTGGATGCTGCATCTCGTGGCATCAAGACTCTGCGCCACTTTGTCTGTTTGCTAGCAGAGGGCAGTTGGAGCACGTGTGAAATGAGGCATCATGCAGGGCTGCCAGCTCTTGCAGTTCACTGGCCTCACAGCAAGAGGAAAGGATTCAGCTTGCGGCAGTCAATGCAAGTCCTGGATGCACTGCTCACATCAGAGGAGAAGGCTGTAGTTGTTATAGTGAAAGAGGAGAAGGAGACTGGTGGGAGCAAAGGTACCATTAAATTTTATTTTAGTTTTCAGTTCTGTTGCTTGAACAGACACCCTTTTCTTCCGGTATTTCTTTCCCCCCACATTTATATGGGTTAATAGACAGGAAGTTCCTAATCTCTAGTATCTGTTTGAACCATCTTGTTCTGTGTTATCCCGTAAGTTTTAATTCTTATTCACATCTTGGTATCCTTGTTCTTGCCTTCTTTTTTATATGGCCAAACCATTAAAATCACGCCTCTTCTGACTCAGTTAACAAAGTCTGAACGCTAAATACCCTAAAAATATCATTTCAAATTCTATCCCTTCTTGTGAGTCCCTTAATACCTCTCAAAAATTTAATATATACTACTTGCATTTTGCTTTTGTTTATCTGTATAAGGACCCATGTTCTGGCATGTTAGAACAGAATGTTAGAACTCTTATAAATTGAAATTTTTTTATTGAGTTTAGAACTTTCTGTATTGTAATATTCATTTTATAATTTGATAGAATTTAGAGTAATTTTGCAATTTTATATTGATAGGCCCATTTGCTTTTACTTCTGAATTTATTTCATTTCTCAGTTAAATAAAGGGGGGCACGCTTCGCACGATCAATTTCACCACTATCACCGAAATCTTGATCAAAAATGCGAGAGGTGAAATTAAGAACAACATCAACTGTCGCCATCTTGCGATGCGATTATTATTCTGGATTATTATGCATGATAAATATTATCTGGATTCAGAGGTAATATTTTATGAAAAACTGCCAGGTAATCACTTTACACTTACAGTACCTATATGAAATAAATATAATTTATTTGGGTCATATTCATTTTGGTTTGGAACACAAAGGAAGCCTTAGTTAGAGCTATTTAGTTATACTTATATTTATTACATTTCTTTGGTTATTTACTAATGCTGTTTTAAGGTATCAGTATCAGACTTTATTAGTGAAATGTCAGAATTTTGACAGAGAACAAAGGTGAATAATTTCTACGCAGAGTTACTGCTCATATATCTTCTGTTTACTTTTCATGTTTACCCTTCATAAAATAATTTGTGTCTAAGATAATTGTAAACATTTGATTTTTCAGCATGTTTAAATTAAATCCCTGGTAAAATGTATATAATAAATATTTTCTATTCAGAACAGTGCATTTCTTGTCATTCCCTTTTATGTTTGCTTTACAATACGAGGGGGGACCCAAAAATAACCGGAAACGACCTGTTGCGCGCGCATGCTTTGTAGTTACGAGTTGTGCTGCTAGGTGGTGTTAGCTGTGGGTCTCCTGCAACTGTTAATGAGCTGGCATCAGTCTGAGTTAAGTGGTTTGTCTGTGGTGCTCTGTTGTGTGCGTTCCTGTTTCAACCCTTTGGCGATTAGTGAGATGGCCGACCAGAAGGAACAAAGAGTGTGCGTGAAATTTTGCTTTCTGTTAGGGAAAACTGCAGCCGAGACTGTTGGGATGCTTCGGCAAGCCTTTAATGATGATGCTTTGGGGAAATCACAGGTCTACGAGTGGTTTTCCCGTTTCAAATCTGGCAACATGTCAACAGAAGACATGCCACGC